TCTTACACTGTCCGATGTCTCCCTTCACCCACTTTCTGTTGTCCATCCCCCAGAGAGGAGGTTATCTGTAGATCCTTGTAATCGGTTCCCCCTTTCTTCCCCACCTCCCCTCCAAAAATGTTTGCTAATAAGTAAATGGATTGATCAGATTCTGTGGTAAAGACTGCACAGTGAAAAGGAAAAACCCGCCATCCCATTTCTCAGCCGTGACAACTACGCTCGTTGATGGTTTCTCATGTACTTTCATACATTGGATTTGGACACGTGTGTGTCTGTGTGTGTATCTTTTTACAATATAAATCAGGTCGGTCTATTCGTGTTTTCTGTATCCTTTTTCCAAATTTTATCTTGAGGTCTTTCCCTATAAGCATTCACAGAGCTAATAAGCTGCATGATAGTCCAGTGTGTGAATGGAGAAGACTATTTTTCTGTTACTAAAATGAGCATGCCCAATTGTAGAAAAAAAGAAAAGCTATCACTTAGAAGACCACCACCCAAAAAAACCAATGTCAATGTTTTTCTAATTTTCTTCTTACGCATTGTAAAACATTGCTTTAATATAAATATACTTTTGAACCATGCTATTTAGAAAAGAGAATTTATCCTAAAATTATTTTCTTACTTCTCCAGCTTGAAAAAACACCATCTCCAGGTGTTTCAAAACTTGCTCCCATATTTTCTATAGATCCTTCATGAGATTTAAGCCAGGGAGACCATGGTTTTCAAAAATTCCTGTATTTGTTTTCTCAGTCACATGTTAAATGTATGTGTTTGTGTAACATAAAACAACAACAACAAAACCCACTGCCATTGAGTCGATTATAACAACCTAGTGTGATTTTCATGGAATCAGGCTTTTTGTCCATTAACCATTAGCATTGTTTAATGCCTGAATCAAAAAAATATTCTTACTCAATGAGATTATAAATGTTAATGGTTCACTGGCTCTTTGACTTCGTATATGAATTACATAGTTACAGTTTACTGTTTGTGCTTATCTGCAAAGGCATCATCAGTTCTGAATCACAGATTTCGTTCATTACAATGTTTCTTATTTGAAAATCAACCTGTGTAAAACACTTGTTTGTTGTAGGCATTGCAGTTCCATCTCAAGATATTCTCTATACGACTCTGGGAACTCTGATTAAAGAGAGGAAGATTTATCACACTGGAGAAGGATACTTCATAGTTACTCCTCAGACTTACTTTATCACAAATACGACCCACCCAGAAAATAGCAGAGTCCGATCAGATGAAAGTCACCCAGTGCCACCTTCCGTTACGTATCTGGTGAGCATGGACCACTCTGCAGAATTAGCCAGAGACAATGCTGCTGTCGTTTCCCACTGTCAGTCTTGCCAGTGTTTTCCTGATGGCAGCACTCGGGGCCTTCGGGATGCACAAGCTGCACCAGGAGTGATCAGAAAAGACCAGAAAGGTCCTGGGGACTCCAAACCTGGGGGACACAATCAGGCCTTTTCAGGGGCTGAGGAGAAGCACAGCTGCAGTAGGACCGAGCCTTTACCATGTACAAAAGACAGAGAAAAAGGCAGGAGATTTGGCTTTGGTCTCTTCTGGCGTAATATGTCTAGGAAGGAGAAGCCCAAAACAGAGCACAGGAGTTTCTCGGCCCAGTTCCCCCCTGAAGAATGGCCTGTTCGAGACGAAGATAACTTGGATAATATCCCACGAGATATTGAACATGAGATAATTAAACGGATCAACCCCATCCTGACCGTTGACAACTTAATCAAACACACGGTCTTAATGCAAAAATATGAAGAACAGAAAAAATATAACAGCCAGGGTACTTCCACTGATATGCGGAAGAGTCGGCACACGCACTCTCCAAAGGAGAGGGTGAAGCAAAGGCAGGGTCGGCCTGCAAAGCCTCACAGGCAGGGCCATTCTCTCAGAGAGAGAGACACCCGCAAAGATAGGAGTCAGGCAACTGAGCCTCCGCCAAGAAGCAGTAGACAGGAGAAACACCCCAAGCTCCCTGCTACACAGTCCACCCCCAGAAGTAAAAGCCCAGATGAAGTAGCTCAGAAACCGCTTGGTGAGACTCCAACAGTGCTAGGTACCTATTCGATTTACAAAAGGCAAATCAGCAATCCTTTCCAGGGTCTGCCTCGCCGAAGGAGCCTAGGGACCAGAGGGCACAAAACTCAGAAGACCAGTGATCTGAAACCCAGACAGATGGGACCAAGAGAAAAGATTTTCCGAAGGTCACGAACTTTAAATTCCTCAAGAGTTTTCAGCGGTGAAACCGAACAACGAGGTGCTGAACGATGTGAAGCTAGACTGAAAGCAGAGTCAGCTCATGTGAGTAACCCTGTCATTGATGGCTTCCAGGGTGACCTGGCAGAGCACCCCCAATGTCGTGTCTTACAGATGGACAATAAAGGCTGTTCCCGCAGGGAAGACATATTTGGATGTGATGTGTGTGGGGAAGAAAATGAGCTCATCCCTGAAGTCTTGAGGAAAAGTCATTCCCACCTGGACAAATTAGGGGAGACCGAAGAAGCACAGCATACGCTGCCATCGCGAGACCTTTCCTTGTTCGACCGGTCTTCCTCTGCTTGTGTACTGGTTGCTAAAACAATGCAACAATTCCAAAATCTCGACCTCTTGGATTATCCCATTGATGTGAGCCATGTGAGCCAACCCAAGAGACCAAACAGAGACTCAGAAGGGGAGCTCACGAGAAAGGCGTTTATTCAGCGCACAGAGCCCGCTCCTCTAGAAGCTGAAGGGCTTTCTGACCCTGACCAGGCCTTTCCTGAGAAGGAAGTGGAGGATGATGACGGTGCCTGCAGTTCCCTCTATCTGGAGGAGGAGGACTGTTCAGAAAATGATGACTTATGTCAAATGCTGCCTGGGCATACTCAGTATTCCTTCCCGGGTGAAAGTAAATGGAATCATTTAGGAAAGCAGAAGGCGACTGGGAGATCTCTCTCTGAGTACAGCACGAAAACACACAGATCGGAGCCTCAGGTGCTCAGTGACCAGTGTCACAAATGCAGTGGGATGTGCCCCAATCCAGGGGAAAGCCAAAACCCTAACCACTCTGCTGGAAGCTGCGACTTTAATTCAGGGACCAGGTTTGCATTGAATTCTGAAAAGGAGCCTAGTGTTGCTCAATGTGTAGTGCAGACCTCAGTGCTTGCGGATGAAAGCCTACTTGATTACTGTCACACAAGGATAGCCAATTCCAAGGCCGAGCCCCTGCAAGCTTCGGTTGGTGACACAAGAAAGAAACTATCCATCTGGAGCCAGAGCCCTCAGATTCAGGAACCAAGAAACCATGCCCCACGGAAGCTAGAACTTTTCAATTCTTCAAATATGCCATCCCAGGATGTCCACCATGATGACAGTCACTTGGAACAAACAGAAAACCATAGCATGGCAGGAGATAGTGGAATTGATTCTCCTCGGTAAGTGCACATAAAAGCAATTGATTAGCACTGTCCCACAGCAGTTATTAAAATGAAGACTAGATGGAGTTAGTAAGTGGGGATTTGCTGGGTAAACTTTTTATAATTGTAGAATTCTGCCACCCTTTACTGAACAAGTAAGAAAGACGGGGCTTTCTAATCCAGTGAAGAGTTACAATCTCGGAAACTCACGGGGCAGTTCTACCCTGTCCTATAGGGTTGCTGTGCGTCAACATCGACTCAGTAGCAATGAAGTTTGTTTGTTACTGAACAAAATGTACAGTTACAAAATCATCTTACATAATTGGATAAAGTTCATTTAAAAATTTTTAGAGTTCATTTTTAATGTGAATAAAAATTAGTTTGATCCAATATCACAAAACTTTTAATTATTTCTTTTTTTTTTATTGTGCTTTTCTTTTTTTTCTTTTTTAACATTTTATTAGGGGCTCATACAACTGTTATCCCAATCCATACACACATCAATTG